ACATGTTTCTTAAGTACACGGATAATATTATTAAGTTATCAAAATGAATTACTAATCCTCTGAATAGTACCCTTGTATTCTTTATAAAGATATCCTATGTCACCTGAACTTAACTTTAAAATCTGGTAATTTTTTCAATTTTTTTTTTTTAAAAATAAATTTAAATGTTGTAAAACTGAGATTGGAAAATCTAAATTAGACAAATTAAATTTTTGAAATTATGCAAATTTTCAAAATCTGAACAAATAAATAAAAATGCACAGTGTATGGTTTTGACTTTGTAATATGAAAATAGGAATATGGTGCAAATCCAAATAAACCGTGGACAGTGTATACTCAAGTTGAGTTCATGAAATTATGCAAATGAAAAGCATGAAAAACAAAACAACTCAATCTACTCTCAACGTTCATCTACACCATCCCTGTGTATTTAATCAGTAGTTACCGGTTGCATCTTTACTCAAAGTATTTCACCATCTAGTAATGCTAACTGGCTAGCTTAGCAGTATAGCATTAACCGCGTGTGACTGGGGGAAGGGGAACAATGGAAACACTCAACATCTGCATATAAATAATCACACTGATTGAGAATACAAAACAACACAATCTTCATTTATCTTAGCTCTAAATTATATAGATGCTGACCTTAAAAGCCGATCTCATACCAATCTTGTACACAATCGTTTCGGCTTAGAAGATCACACAAAAATATACTTTTTGGCTTAAAAACTTCACACAATATACGTTATTAAACCAGACTACGCAGGTTTAACACATCAAACATATAGACTAACATGAATGGACCCAGTCCAGTGTAAAACAGATCAGGTCTGGTACCTACCTAGAGGTATTTAACACAATGTGAACCCTATCCCAGATAAAATCTAGTGCCTCACCAGAAGGTCTTAATCTGTAATATTCACATTAATCGGGCGGCGCCGAAGATACAACAGAGACGAATAGAAACACTATATACAATCTCCACACCACTCGCAATCACCACGGAATTAAACAGGTAACTGTCTCACCTTTCGTTTAGGCCCAGCCAAAAACTCATTTTCTGCAGGCTAGTGTGATGCTAGTTAGCTTGCAGCCTTCCCCTCTTTTCCAGCTCTATCCCGCTTCAGAGTCCACCCAGGGACGCCATGTTAGTGTATTCTAGGGCTGTGCAATTAATCGTATTTTAATCGCGATTACGATTATGGCTTGCGACGATTATGAAAACGGCATAATTGACAAAATACGATTATTTTGCTGGGTGCACTTTCGCCCCTCCCTAAAAGCCCACTCGGCCACGTGGGAGTGACATGTGTTGTGAGTGTTCAGCGCGAGCGAAGATGTCAGATCAAGAGCAGCAACTCGTTAAAAAGAAGGGTACAACTATTTCCACTATTTGCAAGTACTTTGGCTTTCAGGAGTCCGACGTGGAGCAAAACAAAGTACAGTGCAGGATGTGTTACCAGGTTGTGTTGGCACCACACGCTAACACAACCAATCTCTTTAATCATCTGAAATACAACCACAAAGTGCAATACGACCGGGCAGTAATACAACAAAAAGCAGATGCCCGCTCGACTTCATCCACCACATCATCACAGTCATCGATTCAGAACGCATTGTACAGAGCAACGGCCTACGCGACGAGCTCGCAGAGACACAGAGATATTACAGGTGCCATTACATTTCACATCGCTAAAGATATGTGCCCAGTTAGCACTGTTAGCAACCAGGGCTTTAAGCAACTTGTCAACACGTTGGACAAGCGTTACGCGATGCCGTCTCGGTATTATTTCAGCAGGTCTGCGGCTGCGCTGCCTGCGCTATATGACAAATGCTGTGGGGAAGTTGAGAGAGATGTGGCTTCAGCTGACTACTTTGCTACCACAACAGACCTATGGTCTAGCCCAGGGGTGCCCAACCAGTCGATCGCGAGATGTGTCTAAAAATAGAACAACAATATTCTGTTTTATCGTTAATGTCCTGTAACATAATCTTCCTGTGCCAGAATAATGCACTTGAACGCATCAAAGCTTTGTGATTGGCCGGCGTCACCCCATGTGTCGGGGCGTGGCTGAGGGTCTTCAGTACAGGTGGCAATATCGTCACCTGCCTGCGCTCATCTCTGAAACCAGACCATGTCAACAGGCTGGTGTTTCTTGCAAAACATCTTTAAGAGATGACATGAGCAGCCCTACCAGCATTTGCCATGGTGGCCTAAACATTTTTATTTGGTCTTAAATTGTAGTTCAACATTTATTTCCTGTTACTTCTGGACCATGACGGTGGGCCAGCCTTCAACGTTTAACTGAGTGGAATAATGAATATGTTTTACCAACATGTTGGCTATATGTTAAGGAGTTTTCAGTAGGTTGTGACAGTGCACTGCATCATATTTGATTTCATTTATTTTTGGTCTAATTTATTTTTATTTATCATATTAATAATATATGTTTAGTATGGTTTTGGAAGTGCGCTCCAACATATTTGTTGATCTTGTTTATTGGTAAAATATTATTTGTTTTAAAGTTCAATGAATAATCGTCAAAATAATCGTGATATCAATTATTGACCCAAATAATCGTGATTATGATTTTTGCCATAATCGCACAGCCCTAGTGTATTCTATAACCCCGAAGGCAGGAGAGACTGAAAAGAGTCAAGGGAAGCTTATAAAAGTTAACAGTATTTAATTACACAAAAGATGCGGTGGTGTACAGTACAAAATGAAATGTGCGAGTGGAGGCGCTCTCCTCATCCGCCCGGTCAGTCCAGGGCTGCTTCTCAGGTCGATTAAATGAAATCCTTGCGTCCCTCACTTGCGTCGTTTCCCTGCCTCTAGTCCCTCCCACCAGGGAAGCATGGAGGGACGCAAGGAAACCACGAGAAGCAGGGAAATGAGTTTTAAGAGCAATGGGACGTCCTTTCCTCCGGAGCGTCACGTGAAGCGACGTCCGTTTGTGATGACGCTGCACAGCTGATCGTCTGACAGCAGCTCTGGCCCCGTTATTTTCACAAACACCCCCCGCCTCTGTTAGTACACATTTACTGACACAAACATTTGTATCATCTGTTGTAGACCCAAATACATTAAATCAAATAAGATCTCATTCTCAAAAAAGATAAACGCCATTCTTAAAATGTATAAACGAACAATAGTTTGATTAATATTGATTAGAGTGCACAATAGAAATAAAATGATTGAGAGAAGAAAAAGAGATATGTTATCTATCAAAACCCAGTTAGATTAACATTCATTGGATTGCACACTTTGTTTGTTTGGATATGTAGCACATTAACATTTTAATAGCACTTAATGACTGACTGAATGGAAATGACAATAAATGAAAATGTAAAACGAAAAAAGCGATCATGAACATTTTTCCAAAAAATGAATTAAATGATTTTTGACCACTTTGTTGTTCAGATATATCACATATTTGTAACTAAATGAAACATGAATTGAAACAAAACACGGTATAAACTGAGGAGTGACTCCCGTGAGGTTCATGTATTTTCTTCACTCTGCTCTCATGTCAAGAAGCATCAGATCAGTGCATGCACTGCCTCGTCCAATCAGTGAGCGATACACAGTAAGGGGGCGGGGTGAGTATCTGAGGATTCCATCGGAGGATGGTCTGGTGGTTCCTCGGTTATCGCTCCTCCATGATCGCTCCTCGCTCCTCGATCCTCGGTCCTCCGGCAGAAATAAGAGCCATGGGACGGTACTCAAGATGGCGCGGGCAAATCAACTTCCGGTGAGACCGAGGACCGAGGAGCGAGGAAATGAAAATAGTCGACCTGAGAAGCAGCCCAGGTCGTCCGGTAGAAAGAGGTCAATCCTTGGCTTGCTCTTCCTGTTGTCATCGGAGGTCTTCTCCTATTGGCCGGCGTCGTCGGGGGGGCGGGTCCAATGCAATTCCTGCCTTTTTCTGTTGTTAAATGATATCATTCTGGTGTCTGTGGTTATTTAAACATTTCCTAATAAACGTTATTCAGCGGTAATAAACGAGTGCTAAACCCAGTGTGCTCGGTGTACAACATCACATGTCATTTCACCTTTGATTCACGGTCTGAAAATGCAGCATTTCGCCACATGCTAATGCTAACCGGAAATGAATAATTTTCAGAATAAAAGTATTAAGTTAATAGTTAGTGAACTTCCGGTTTTTCAGAATAAAACTGATTTAAATTAAATAGTGTATTTAATTCAAATTACGCCATATCAACATTGATTTTAATTTCTAACAGTATTCAAGTTATCCATACCTTTCTGAAGAAATGTACTGTAGCTTTCATAGCCTTCTTCAGTCTCAGACACTTTCACATATTTCTGGCTTTCGCCATATCTTACTTTCACCAACATAGTGTCCTATAAGAATACAAATGTATTAGCAAACATATTACAGAAATATCTAACAGACCTGTTGCTACAAAAATATAATTATGCATTTAAGTGTCGTTGAAATAATTTAGCAAAATGCTAACAGTGGAGCTCAACACCAGTGGCTAACGATAGCAGTATTACTGACATGTGGAGCTGAACATGCTAACACGTGGAGCTAAAAACCCGTGGCTAACGATAGCAGCTAATATGACTGACAAGTTGAGCTATTAGCTGCTATCGTTAGCCTTGGGTGTTTAGCTTCACATGTTAGTAATATATATTAAAGTAGCATATATTAGCCTCACATCTAATTCATATTGCAGGAGCTACTATTGTTGGTCACAGGTGTTTACCTCCACGTGTTAGTTAGTAATATTAGCTACTATGGCGTTTAGCTCCACCTGTTAATATGAGTTGCTATCGTTAGCCGCAGGTGTTTAGCTTTACTTATAGCAGCTAAACTTACTAACACTTTAAGCTTACAACCCGCGGCTAACAATAGCAGCTAATATACTAACACATGGAGCTAAACGCCCCAATAACAGACTTTGTAATGATATTAAAAAGATGTTAGGCTAAACACCCCTGGCTAATGATAGCAGCACATATTACTAGCATGTGGAGCGAAGACAGCAGTCAATGTAAAATAATTAGTATTTATGTAGCTGAAGGTAAGCGCTGTTCAGCTAAATAAATAAATACCTGTACTAGGCTACTGGTTCGAAACATTTACTTACACTTTGGTCAGTTTATCCTCCAAATAGAATGTGGTGGTATGCTCCTCCGATTTGGTCTCCCGCCTCGACTGCGCGCACACACATTCACAGTCACGGCCACACCCAACAGAGCAACAGCCAGTGATCCACAGAAAGAGAGATTGTAACACTGGCTATGTAATTAAATCAACACTCTAGAGTTGTTTGGAGAATTCAACAATTGACTCCCTGTTTCAACACCAACTCGTTTTGAATAATAACTATCTTGGAGTTGAATGACACTTAAAATGAGTTGAAACAACTCTATATTTAAATTTCCAACTCCAACACTGAAAATATAACACTTTTGATGTTGCTGTGCATGAGACACAGGTAACACAGGAGACACAGGAGACACAGGAGACACAGGAGACACAGGAGACACAGGTAACACAGGAGACACAGGAGACACAGGAGACACAGGAGACACAGGAGACACAGGTAACACAGGAGACACAGGAGACACAGGAGACACAGGAGACACAGGAGACACAGGAGACACAGGAGACACAGGAGACACAGGAGACACAGGAGACACAGGAGACACAGGAGAGACAGGAAACGGAGGTGACAGGAAACACAGGTGACATGTATTAATGGTCGTCCACCTGTTCTCCTTCAGGTCCTCAGTCCGGGATCAAGGAGGAGTTCCTGCAGGACTGTCTGCAGGTGGAGCTGCCCCCCCACTGTGACCCCTACAGCCAGCCCCGCCCCCTCAGGCATCCCAGCATCCCCCCTCCAGGTGAGCTGTCAATCAAAGTTAATTTCCTAATCAGTTGACTCACAGTTTGTGACTCCCTGGCTTCTGTCTTGCAGGCAGCAGCTCACCTGCAGCTCTGTCAGGTGTTACCTGTGGCAGGGGGGTCGCCCCCCACACCCCACAGCCCCCTCATCCCCCCACCCCCACCTCCCCACACCTGCCCGAATACAGCAGCCCCCCAAAAACAGGTACTTCACCTGCACACACCTGTACTGTACCTGCACACACACACTGTAACTGTACACACCTGTACTGTACCTGCACACACACACACCTGTACTGTACCTGCACACAGACACACACACACACCTGTACCTGCACACACACCTGTACTCTACCTACACACACACACACACACACACACACACACACACACACACACACACACCTGTACCTGTGCACACACACACACACACACACACACACACACACCTGTACTCTACCTGTACTGTACATTAAGAGTACCAGCAGTATTATTGAGCAGAGATACTGACCTGTTGTTTACTGTCTCTGCAGACACCTGGCCAGGTACTAGCCCCGCCCCCTACAGCCCTGCAGGACAGAGTGGGTGGAGCCAACAGCATCACAATCACCACGCTCCCAACACACACTTCTGTATGACATCATCCCAATATCCAGCTGAAGTTATAGTACTTTACTGAAGTATTAGTACTTGACTGCAGTATTAGTACTTGACTGCAGTATTAATACTTGACTGGAGTATTAGTACTTTCCTGCAGTATTTTACTGAAGTATTAGTACATGACTGCAGTATTATACTTGACTGCAGTATTAGTACTTGACTGCAGTATTAGTACTTTCCTGCAGTATTAGTACTTTACTGAAGTATTAGTACATGACTGCAGTATTATACTTGACTGCAGTATTAGTACTTGACTGCAGTATTAGTACTTTACTGCAGTATTAGTACTTGACTGCAGTATTAATACTTGACTGGAGTATTAGTACTTTCCTGCAGTATTAGTACTTTACTGAAGTATTAGTACATGACTGCAGTATTATACTTGACTGCAGTATTAGTACTTGACTGCAGTATTAGTACTTTACTGCAGTATTAGTACTTTCCTGCAGTATTAATACTTTCCTGAAGTATTAATACTTGACTGCAGTATTAGTACTTGACTGCAGTATTAGTACTTTACTGCAGTATTAGTACTTTCCTGAAGTATTAGTACTTTACTGCAGTATTAGTACTTTACTGAAGTATTAATACTTGACTGCAGTATTAATACTTGACTGCAGTATTAGTACTTTACTGCAGTATTAGTACTTTACTGCAGTATTAATACTTTACTGCAGTATTAGTACTTGACTGCAGTATTTTACTGCAGTATTAGTACTTTACTGCAGTATTAGTACTTTACTGCAGTATTAATACTTGACTGCAGTATTAGTACTTTACTGCAGTATTAATACTTGACTGCAGTATTAATACTTGACTGCAGTATTAGTACTTTACTGAAGTATTAATACTTGACTGCAGTATTAATACTTGACTGCAGTATTAGTACTTTACTGCAGTATTAGTACTTTACTGCAGTATTAGTACTTGACTGCAGTATTTTACTGCAGTATTAGTA